AAAATTGGAGATAAACCCATCAGCTTTGAAGTCACTATTGGTGAGATGAAGTCAAACACCTGTAATGTCTCTTTTCAAAACATGCACTTTTCAATATGGAAATAGTCAGGCAATGCTTCAGTAATAAAAATTTTTACAGCACCACAAGTACACAATTTTCCACTTAGGTAACTATGGTAACCAGATTGATGGAGTGAGCAAGCCTGCATCAGCAAAGAAGAAGAAAGAGGATGGAGGGGAGAGTGAAGAAGAGGAGTCTGAGCTCATCCACAACTCCAGCGATGAAGGGGCAGAGGATGATGGAGATTTGACGTCTGTGCCGTCCACCCCTCCTATGAAACCGGTTATTACTGACAGGTCAGAGGTTAGGGAAAGGAAAATGATCAGATGTCAAAGAAATATCGAGTCATCAAACTATCTAGAAATGGTTTTGAGAAAACACTTTACACTGTTAGTATTCTCTGACTGAAAATCACTTTCATAGGCAAGTTGAATTGCAGTTTGTCAAAGTCACACTTTTTAAAAAAAAATAGATAACAGCTACTGTTGAGCTCTGCATCTAGGAACTGAACTATCCATTTTGCTCCATTTACAGAAATTACTTCCACTTGCCTTACTTTGAAAAGAAACCCTGCATTTACATCAAGAGCTGGTGGCAAGACCAGAGGAGACGGCTCTACAACTCCAATATAATGGACAAGCTAGCAGATAAACTAGTCAGGCTCCCCCTAAAATTGCTATCTGACTGTTAAACTGTCAATCTCCTTCTTCGAAGCTGTTGTTTTAGGGTTATTTTTGTCAAATCGGACATTATAATACTGTTTAAGCATGTGCATGTCTGTCCTTGTAAACAGGAGGAAGGTCTGAATGACGTTCAAGAAATCATAAAAACAGAGAAGGCTTATCCAGAACGCAGACTTAGAGGTGTATTAGAAGAGCTCAGCACAAATTGCAGGTGAGAGAATGAAAAAGTGAATCTGAACAATCAAAGTTAACGTATATACAGCACAAATCACAATCAACAATCTTTTGACTTCTTCCCTATTCTCCACAATTGAAGTCGATTTGTTACACTGGCAAACAAAGATCAGAATCTATCCGGAAGAACCAAGCTGGACAAAGAGAGGCTGAAGACCTGTATGAGAGAGATGGTATGCCTACATGCCCTATATGGTCTCAGCCTGGACATTAAGAACTGCTGATGGGTTGTTTAATGTAATTTGCATGGTTATATTGTTCACAGGAGAGTATGGCTCAGCAGACGAAGACTATTCGCTCACAAGTGAAGAGAAACACGGTTCGAGACAAACTCAAGCTAGTATTCAATTTCCTTCACAGACTTCGTTTCCTGGCAGATGAGGTAAAAGAAATCACATCCCCTTACTACTCCATTCACATTGAGCATCTCAGTCTCAATGTTTTCTTGTTTATTTTCCTTTAAGCCCCAGCACAGCATCCCTGATGTGTTCATATGGATGATTAGCAACAACAAACGCATAGCGTATGCCCGCATACCCTCAAAAGACATCCTCTACTCAATTGTTGGCGAAGAGATGGGAAAAGACTGTGGGAAAGTTAAAGCTGTTTTTCTCAGGGTAACTCCTACTTTATATCCCGTTTTCATGTCTTTCTTCCTCTGAATAAACATGTTAGTTAGAAGGAATTAAATCAGGTTGGATATTATGGATGTAAACATTCTGCATTGGTGCTTGTGTTCATTATAGCTGCCCGGAAAGAAAGGCTTTGGGCCTGCTGGCTGGACAGTTCAGGCTAAACTAGAGATGTATTTGTGGCTGGGGTTGAACAAACAGAGGAAAGACTTCCTGAGTGGCCTCCCTAGCGGCTTCGAAGAAAACAAGGCAACGAAAGGAACAGGCATACAAGCTGTTCCTCCCATTAGCCTGGTTTATAACAGTAAGATTATTATGTTTTAAATATGAATGTTAGTACTTTTTGTTTTGCTTTTGTTGAAGGTTGCATGTATGTTAACGCATGTACAGTATGTGATAAGTGACCCTCTATATCCTGTTCTGTAGTGAAGCAGGTGTTTCAGCTGAGGGCCCACATGTATCAGGCTCGCAGTCTGTTTGCTGCTGACAGTAGTGGCCTGTCTGACCCTTTTGCAAGGGTTTTCTTCTCCACCCACAGCCAGGTGACAGAGGTGAGTGTGTGTTGGAGTCTTTGGTTATGAGTGTGCATTTCAAGGTCTGTAAAAATACAGGATTTTTCGGTTTGGCTGTCTCTGCTGTCTGAACAAATATTATGGGTGCTGTATTTGTATGTCGGTAACAAATCCATAATAATTTACAGTATTACAGTTTTTGCTGTATTATTTGTATTTATATACAGTATAAACATTTATACCAGCAGCTCTTAATCCTGGTCCCCCACTCTGCACATTTTGCATGTCTCTCGTTTAACACACTTGATTCAAATCACCAGCTCTTTAGAAGAGAGCTCCATGAAGTAACTGTGTTCCAAATGACCTGGTCCCTACACAGTGATCATTGCTCCCTACTCCCTGCACAGGGCAAATTGGCTGAAGTTTACTTTACTTAAGAACAGGGATTTGCACTACACAACTGCCTGCAGCATCTTCACACACAGACAAAACTTACTACAGAAGTGTGAAGGGTTATTTAACTGTAATCATGAGATTTGCATAGTCGTCGCGTGCTTTAATGCCTTTTGAATGGAACATACGCTTCTTTCGAACTGGAATCATGGCGGAATATGCTGTTATGTCCACTTCACAGGGCACTTATGGTAGAATGGAACAAACCTCTGAAGCGATAAGAGAAACATACAAAAGAGGATCGCGAGGAGCAGGATTAAGAACCGCAGTGATGTTAATTACAATTACCACAATTGTTTGTTATCATTGTATTTATTTATACATTGTTCACATGAATACAAAATTAAAAATGTTGATGTCCTTCATTAAATTTGTTTAAGAGCAATTTCCCTGAAAAATAGAGAAGTTAAGAACATTTCAACACCCTTTAATATGAGGAAAACAATTAAAGAGACATTAAAATGTCTGAAGTTGTTATAATCTGACTTTTAAAACTAGAATGACTGTTTTTAAATGTTTGGTTAAAGGACAGAAAGGTCCTCGTAATTGATGAATCATTCATAAACGTTTGTGTATGTATATTTCAGGTCCTCAATGAGACTCTCTGTCCTACATGGGATCAGTTGCTTGTGTTTGATAATGTTGAACTCTTTGGCGATGCTGGTGAACTCCGTGACGACCCTCCAATTATTGTTATCGAACTGTATGACCAAGACACTGTGGTAAGTTTATATGGCAAAACCCAAGACGTATACCCATAAATAAAATCTAAATATTAAAAATTAAATGTCATAGTTTGCTAGTTCAGTGCACAGTTCTGTTGACATTATCCTTTCCATGTATGAGTCACATTAAGAGTGTGTGAAAATGTGCCCT